TTTAGTGAGACAAATAGCACTAGTATTGTCACACTTGATAGGAATGGTACCTACTTCAATTGCATAGTCAAAAAGTTGGTGTTTCATCTATAAAACTTGTGCACAACAACTACCAACTGAAATGTATTCCGCTTTAGTGGTAGATAATGCTACAATATTTTGTTTCTTTGAAAACCAAGAAATCAACATATTTCCAAGGAATTGGCAAGTACCGGAGGTGCTTTTCCTATCTAATTTTCATTTTCCATAATCCGCATCAGAGAAGGCATGCAAGAAAAAGCTAGACTCTCTAGGATACCAAAGTCCTAAACTATAAGTGTCCTTAAGGTATCTAAAGATCCTTTTAACAGCTAGTAAATGTGATTCCTTAGGGCATGATTGAAATCTAGCACATAAGCAAACACTAAACATAATGTCCAGTCTACTTGCAGTTAGATAGAGCAAAGAACCAATCATTGACCTATATAATTTAACATCCACACATTTACCTCCTTCATCTATATCAAGCTTTGTTGATGAGCTCATTGGAGTGTCATGAGGTTTTCCATTTTCCAGTCCAAATTTCTTGAGCATATCTTTTACATACTTAGCTTGATTGATGAAGATGACATCTTTTCTTTGCTTGATTTGGAGTCCCAAGAAAAATGAGATCTTTGGAACATGTATGAGGTCTTTTGAGACACATATTTGGTCCTTAGCATATGTATATGATTCTTAAGGAATTTTCTATGTGGTCCTTCGGGACATATTATATGGAACTACGGTGCAATTATAAGCGGCACTTCGGTGCAATTATAAGCGGCACTTCGGTGCAATTCTACGTGGCACTTTGGTGCATTTATACGAGCTATGGTGACAACATTAGTGCATAACCTCTATAGACTCATATATCTATAGTTCTCACATATGTGCATGGGCTAATCAAGAGATAATAACCAATATATGATTGTGATATGAAAAAATTTATAGAAAAAGATATGATGATGTATGGGTAGAGTATTTGATTAAGAAGGTTAAGTATAAAAATATGTGATTAAATGATAAATTACTAATGATGATTTATGTGTATATATGTATTTCTTACTAGGTAATCTGATATGATTTATATGATGATTTCTGTATTTCTTAGTTAATTGAATCATATGTTGATTAAAAGAATAGATATAAGAGGATATGATTATAAGATATAAATGATAAGAATATTGATAGTGGAATAAGGTTAGAGATGGAAATAGTGTGTGATATGTATATGTGTATATTACGTTGTATATAATGTTGTATTGTTTTGGTGTGACATCATGAAATGATATGTTATGCATATGTAAATAGTTAGAGTTCTTTTATAAGTTTAATGCCTCACTAAGTTATAGACTTAGCGTGTGAGTGTTTCACACGTAGGTTCCGGAAAAGTGAGAAGATACGTTAAGAGGAGCAAAACAGGTCAGCATCTCCTTTACAAAGTTCAGATCAGAAAAGTAGTTGTAAATTTATGTATATGGTTATATTAATTGTAGTTGGCATGTACTAAGAGAATGATATTAAATATGCTCTGATAGGTTTTGTAATACCAAACGTTTTAGTTAATGAAAATCATTTACTTTCTTGAATTTTGAATTTGAATTTTAACTAATTTGTAAAGAAAAATGTTTTGAAAAGTCAATGTGACACCTCGGGTTCATGTCAGATACGGGTTGGGGTGTTACAATTACCATTTTGGTCCCTAAACTTTTTCAAATTTTATACTTTGTTCACCAAACTTTAAAAATTATAATTTGGTCACTAAACTAAATCCATTTATGGAATAAAATTCTTTTTGGGAAAAATACTACTTAGGTCTTTAAACTTTTCCCAATTTTCTACTTTGACCATCAAACTTTCAAAATTTACATTTTGGTCAGTAGTCCGCTTTTTGGGATGTTACACTAATAGGGATTTCCAAACTTACCTCTAAAATCTCAGACTTTGGATGAATGACAACAAAGTTTGCTCTTTTGTTCAACTCATCAAGGAATGAAGGAGAAACTATGAAATGGAGAAGAAGACAAGAGTATGGTGAAAATGAGAAACACCCATAACCTTTTTTCTTATTTATTCACCGGGTGACCTCACCAAACATTAATATTTTCAATATTTAAAACTCTTTAGGGTTTAATTTCAGCTTTAGTCCTTTCACAAAATTCTTATATTCAAATATCTATTTTCACACTATTTGGGCCTCAAACCAAGCCCGAATCACTTCGTATTTAGCCAAGGGTTTCTTATAAACCTATTGAGTTTATTTAATTCTCTCTCGGGGTTAGCTCAAAACTTTTAACCCAAAAATCGGGGTGTTACATAAATAGATTCATATTTGAATTTAGGGTAAACTATACATATAACCAATAACTATAGTATTTTCTTATTTTGACCATAATTTTTTAAGTTTTGTCAATCATATCACTCACATATTTAAAGGCATTCAATTAAATCACTAACTGTTAGCACTTAATGAATAAGGTTATGTGGTCGTTAAATACTTTGGTACAATCACGTGTCATTGGCCAACCTTGAAAGGTTAAATTTATTTTAACCAATCATAAACGGAGGCAATTAGAATTGAACATAGGACACCTAGGTGAGGTAGTATGCATTAAATCATTGAGCCTAGACTACTACTTGATATAATATTGACAACATGTAGTATCTATTTGTATATTAAAGTATAAATAATTAACTTATTAAATATATTTTATTTTAATTTTAATTTTAAAATATAGATCTTTATTCTTATCTTCAATTAAAAATATATATCTTATTCTTATTTTTAATTAAAAATATATTTTATTCTTATTTTAACTAGAAATATATATTATTATTAACTTAAAATGTATATATTTTTTTATTTTAAAGTATATATTTTATTCTTATTTTAATATAAAATATTTTTATTTTCATCTTAACTTTAAAAAAAATATTTTTTAAATAGAAAATATATATTTTATTTTTATCTTAATTTTAAAATATTATAAGAATAAAATATAAATATTTAAGTTAATGTAATAATAAATTATATTTTTAAGTTAATATATGACTAAAATATATTTTTTGTTAAGAATTAATTATATTTAATGAGTTTTTTTTAATAATTTGGGATAAGTATAAGGTAATATATGTCCGTAGATAACTCTCCAACTATTTGACATTAAACGCTCACACCCTTGGCATTTCTAGTGCTCGAACCTGGGAACTTAAAATGTTATCTAATTTGGTTACAATTTAATATTCTATAAACGTATCGAATCTTTTTATATAAGTTGCGTTATCTAAAATATTATATTTTTTTATGATATAAGTAACAGTTTAAGTTCTAATCTAAATAGCCTCAATGTTAAGTTGAAACCAATTTAGAAATTTAAATAACATTTTAAGTTGTAATTATAAATTTCACTAATTTTTTATCGACGTGAATAACATCTTACGTTAATAACCGGTAATAAAAATACTTAAATTATCAATTAAAAATAATGTAAATTTGATAATTTTTTCGATGGTACCAATTTAAAAAAAGTTAATAATGTTTTCGGTTGGTTGTAAATTAAAGTGGCTGCATCTTAGACTGGCCCTTAAAAAAAAACTAATTTAAATGTTAAACAGTCGCACCTAAAAAGAAATGTCAATACTCAACACTTAAAAAGCTCGCTTTCAAACGCGTAAAGCCACCGCCATGGACGTGTAATGAAAAGAGGTTTGGTTTACTCTAATGGGAGAGTTCAAATAACGGGTGGGATTAACATGATTGATAATCGGTGCAACAGCAGCCGTTGGATTTATGATACGAGTAAAAAGGCACTGCCAATGTCACCGCCATAATGGACGGAGTCAGACTGCTCACATCGTGAATCCTACTTTCCTTATCGCCGCATCAAAACTGGGTATTTTGATTTGGTACAGAGATGAAAATAATATATATATATATATATAATGAAATTTGTATTAAAATGTCTTAATTTTAATAATTAACTCTTAGGAGGGTTAAATATGTAATTTTATTTATAATACGTATTTAGTGATCATTAAGGTTGTGCATATCCAAGATTTTTGAAATTCAAAAATCCAGATCAATAAAGTTCTAATTCATATTCGATCCCAAAAAATTAATATTAAATTTTTCGATCTAATATTCAGATATACGGATGTCAACATCAAATTTTACTTGACAAATTTTTCATATTTATTTATAATTTTGTGATTTTATGCAACATTTATATTTCTAATATATATATATATATATATATTCACCATCTTAATGTTTATTCGATTGAGTTTAATGATTATTCACTTATCAAAATTTTGAATAATTCAAAATTAAACGATTATCAAAATTATTAATAATTTTTAAAATATCTTATTCAAATTATCTTAAGATCAAAAAATAAATTAAACATCTAAGTTTTCAGATTTAAGGGTAAATTACGTGTATAATGCCCAAATTATCAATTTTAATATGTTATAGTACCTAAATTTTCAAAAAAATCAAAATCATATCTAAAATTTAGTTTTTTTTCATTTTAGTACACTCCGCTGTTAAAAATTTTAGTTTTTGTTTTATTCTAGTATCTTTTCAAAAACTTAATGTTAAGTTTTGGAATAAAAAATGAAAATTTAGGTACTTAAATAGATCAAAATTGATAATTTAAGTACTAAACGCGTAAAGTTTTCAATGACGGGATACTAAAATAAAATGAAATCTAAATATTACGTATGATTTTGAAAATAAAAATAAAAATTTAAGTACTATAACGGATCAAAATTGATAATTTAAGTACTAAATGCATAGTTTACCCTAGATTTAATCTTCCCTAGTGATCCCAGTAGTCGTTTTTTCCATGCCTCAATTATCAATTATAAGCTTCCTAGTAGGCGAGACTACAGACCAACATATTAATTTACCGATGGTTTCACATAATTTAACAGAAAACTGATTAACATTTTAGCAATTCTCAATTATAAGCTTACTACAAATCAAACAGTAGAGGTATACATATCGTCATCATAAACGAACTTTTCGTTGTTTTATCATTAGCTTTATGAAATTCATAGGCCAATCCTCCATGGCTAGTCACATCGATTCTGGCCATCTCCTTGTCAGCCAATATCCTCAAAAGCCCCAGCTTATGCAGTACCAAAAACAATGCCCCCATGGTGGCGCTCACCCACCTCACCACCACCAAAATCTGGATCAATTGCCCCTCCAACAACCGTGCTCCGCCTCCCATGAACAGTCCATGCGGTTACATTCCAATGACCAGTGAGCAAACCTTTGCCGAAGAGTGTTGTCAAAGCGAACAAACATCCCGCAATCATCATCGTTACGGAGGTTCTTCCGGTGACGCTCCATTGTCCATAGAAATAACCGGTTTGTGCGCAAGTTTTGAAGATGGTGATGAATGAACCTGGATTGAAACCATACCAGCTGAACCATAGCAAAAATGTTCCTAGTACGACCAATGTACAACTATGTCCACCTAAACACACAGGCTTGCCATCGCTGTTGAATCGACCCATGCGAGGACCTTCAATCCATGCACCCCATAAGCCGGCAAAGCTGCTGACCATGTGAACAACTCTGGAACCGACAAAATCGATCACCCCAGACATTGGGAAGCATGACATTCATGGTGTTCTTAGCACGTACAGAACAGGCACACAGCATGGCAAAATCGAACTGCATGGAGAACACAAGATATGCTGAGTAAAGAAGGTAGGTGTATCAATGGCATACGTTTCGGCAACAACTTGTTTGAAACAGCATCGAAGCCATTGCAAATGTATTCAGCAGCAGCGGTGGCGTTGGCGGTAGTGCCGGAAAAAGGACAAAGATCGGCGGCAGAGCAGGTAAAACTAGTCATGACTCATATAGAGCCTAGAGTCTCCCCATTCCTTCAGACTCGAAGATTCGAAAGAGATTGAGAGACAAAAATAACAAAATTTTGTTAGTTTCCTTATATGTAGGATGTTTGATAATAACATCGAATTTTAAATATTTAAGAGAAAATTCCTAAATTCTATGAAAATCTGAAATTTCAGACATTGTTCATGGTTTTGTTTTACATTTGCTTCTTGTTATTTTCATAAAAGGAAATAAACCTCATTTTTTTCAGAAGACAAATACAGAGGAAATTTAGTAAAATTGTTGAAAATTGGGTAACGAAAAACGACCCATTTCTGTACAATTGCACACCATAAAAGCTTCTATTATAATGCAGTCACCATATCAATCCTATAAAACAACTACCATCTCTAATTCTCTCTTCTGTTTTGTAGACCGCGGAATGAGTACCAGCTTTACTTCTCTAGAATGCACAAGCTACGCTAATCAGTTATGCACGAGTTAGACGATCCCAAGATGTTTTGGATGTCGACATCAAAAAAAATCATACCAGTATCATAAGACATATGATTGGCAGAAAGTGAGGAGAGTTCTGCAAGAGACTCTTCAGGAAAGGACTGGTCATTGAAAAGGAAGCTCTCCAGCTCGTTGAAAACTGATTTATCTCCTTCATTTACCTCCTCGGATGCTTCTTTCTCGTTTGTGAAGCTTTGAATCTGTGAACAACCAACGGAAGGTTGCTGGTTGCATTCACCGGTGTTGTTGACCCAGTTCAAGTCGTAATCAGAAACATGATTCATTGCCTGTTGATTTTGATTCTGAAGGTGATTGGTATCTTGGTTCAAGCTTGACTGAGGAACAGGCTGACCGAACGCCGAGGACCGGGAGGATGCTGAATTGTTAGTGACACTGCCCATACCAGGCTTCTGGTGAGTATTTGCCCCTAAAGTTGAACCAGAACAAAGATTTGGCCAGCAAATTGGGTTTGGGTTCCTTTCACTTGATACTGTAAGCAAAGAGGGATTCTGTTGATGCTGTAAAGCAATACTAGAAGTAATGTTTTCTGATGGAACATATGCAGTGCGGTTCATTGTTGACACAGCTTCCATCCTTTTAGACAGTGTGTTGGAAGAGACAAATTGGGGGCCCAAGTTACGAATCCTGGTACCTCGATCCCTTCGAATTACGGTATTATGCACCCCATGTAACTGATGTGAAACTGGATGTGGATGCATTGTCCTATTTAAAACACGTTGACTACCCACACTAGGGTTGTATGGAACCCTACATCTGGAAGATGAACGAGCACGAATTAATGATGGCTGTTGGATGTGAGTTTGAGGCATCTGGTTCCGAGCAGCTTGAGTCAAAATTAGCCTAGAAACTTGATTCTGCAGTGTGAACTGTGTATCGTCGCATGGAGCTTGGTTAAGTCGGGGAATTGCAGTAGAGTGAGAAATGACAGGAGCTTTTGTAACTGGTATGGGAAATTTTCGGGCATGCCTGGAAGTCTTTCGCATATTCTTCCACCTCTCCTCTTTATCCGTGGCATGACAATGATCAGTGGTACGGGTACCTGAGCCCCAATAACTACATGGTGCTTTTAAGTCGCAAACAAAGCAATGACACTGCAATTTCAAATGGGCATTCAATGTTTTCATTAGAAATGCATGCTAAATTCAAGAGCATCAATCTTTGAAACAGTGCAGCAATCGACCATCACAAATGAATAAAATTTCAAGTCACTTTTCAAAAAATTAAGATATTTACCAATTCACAATATTGTTCATGTGAGGTTGAACTGAAAGGAAACCTAGCACAATCATGCCGTGGATGGGGGTAATCTCTGCATGCAATCTGCAACAATATCAAAGAGAAATGAGAGAGCTATCGTGAATACAGTGCCTATGAGACGGGAGATAACAGTCTTCAATGCATAAAGCAAAAGGTAACGGAGCACGTTAAACATTAATAATATTTAGCATGTTACCCTAAGATCACCTCAGCTCCCAGATGGCCCATGATAGAAAATTCTGAGCCTATTGTCTACTTTCAATCTTTTGACATTTCAGCAGCAAGATAGGACCATTTTGTCCACACTGCTACAACAAAATTATCAACCAAACAGATAACATCACCCTGTTAAGATCAGATGAGAACAAAGATACGTCTTTCTGGTTCTCAAACCGGGCATTTCCCCTACAGCAACTCAACCCTGTAACATTCACTTCCAGGAAAATGACCAACCTTTACGACTCGTTTTCCCCCATAGATTAGTGATCTAAGCTCATTTTAACAGCACCAGATGATAACGCCTCACTTCTGCATTCCGGTTGGCATATACAGCACAACATACTGATTAACCCATAAAGGTGTTTAGGATGTTAAAACTTGAAAAGAGTAAATAAATGCATAACAAATCTCCACACTACATGAACAAGCAAAGTTGCTGGAGCTAGAACACAAACTACAAAAATGTAGAACCGCAACGGAAAACTCGAAAAAATCAAGAAATATAACAACAAAAAAACAACAATTTTAATCAACTTAACATGCAATGCTACCCGGAAATCTAAATAACAATTCATAAACCAACCCTAAACTCAAGACCAAGTCACCAAACAAAGCCTTTCTTCTCACTGAAAGCACATAAAGATATCAGCATCGTTAAATCTATAAATTAGTAAGAGAATCAATAATTTCGGTTTATTCATCCCTTGGAAGAAAAACAATAAAAAATTTAACTAGTAACAGCTGGAACGAGCATAGAAACCACTAGTCTATTTTCAGCAGCAAACACCGAAAAAAATAACAATCAGCATACTCAGGCAGAAGCAGAAGCACTACAAATTAAAGAGATAGATATTTACCTGCCCTTTTTGGCCGACAATAAGACACTCATCGGAATCTTCATGGAGATCATTAACATCCGACAAGGCCTTATCTGGGTCACCTTCCAAAACGACACAATCACCATCGTCCTCATCAGCGACCTTCCTGGCCACTGAATTCGGTGATTTTGATTTCTTGGTGGGGTTGACTTCCCCGACCACCAACACTTCATCGGGATCGTCGAACACCTTATCAACGGTTTCCAGAACTTCCGATAACCAGTTGTAATCGTCCCACTTCGGCTCCTTCCAAACCGATATCGTCTCATCGTAGTCAGAGCTTAAGTCAAAACTAATAGGAGACGCCTCCATCATAACAAAGAGTAAAAATTTAGGTTCTTATTTTGTCAAAAGAAATAAAGCAAGAACAACCTTCTTCTATTCACAGGAATTGCTGGACTTCTTGCAATCTGAATAAAAAAGAAAGACAGGTGAAATCAAAAGGAAAAGAAGCACTTGAAAACATGAAGAATTCAGAATGATTTGCGATTCCTTTTTTTATATATATATAAAATGAAACTAAAATGAGACAAGGGCAGAGGAACGTAGGGTTTAGGAATTGAACTTAAGAACTTTTAGGTAATTAATGTAGAGAAAATAGGGTTTCTTTAAGTATTGATAAAATTTTCTTGCCATTTCCATTTTAGGGTGAAATTTTGGGCGAAATTGAAATTGAAATTGATATTGAAGCAGGGAAGAAGGTGAACTGAAAAGTTCAGTAAATTGGACGTGGATTTATATGGGATACCCTAATGCGGAAAAAGAAAATAAAGTTAGGGGTATAGTTGAGATTTCAATGCCATAACGTTCATATGACGACCGACAGCGACAACCACATCCTGTTCGTCAGTTATAGGTGCCATCGCGCGATATAATGTCTTATTTCACTAGTGTCATTCGGTCTTGAATTTATTTATTTATTTTAAAATTTTGTGTACTCTCTTACCAAAAACAATTTTATAATATTACAAGTACTAAAAGTTTGAAAGGATGTTTGTTTACTTCAGAATAATTAAGTGTTGAATGATTTAAATTTGTGTACTCTCTTACCAAAAACAATTTCATAATATTACATGTACTAAAAGTTTGAAAGGATGTTTGTTTACTTCAGAATGATTAAACGTTGAATGATTTAAATGTTGAATGATTCAGAAGCTCTGTATGAATTAACTCTGAATATGACATGTTGTTTGATAATGGCTCTGAATCATTCAGAATGTACTATAATGAATCATTCAGTACTGTTTTGCTGAATCAGTCAGCACTGAATTATTCAGAGGTGCAAAACAAACGCGCTGAATACTGAACGGTTCAACATTCAACGCTGAATAATTCTATTCAGAGCCAAACAAACAACACCTAAGTTTAAAAATGGATAAAAATTTAAAACTTAATTTAAAAAATTCAAATTTAAAAAACTATTTTTTCGTGAAGAAAAGTGATCTTGATAGGTTCATACTAAAAATTATATTTAAACTCTCATTTTGAGTTCGGACCAAGTGATTTTCGTGGTAAAATAATTGTTATTATTCTTGAGGATCTGAGTTCAAACATCATAGATGTCAAGGGTGTGAATGTTCAATGTTAAAAGTAGGGATGAACATAGCTCGGGTCGGATTTTCAATCCACCCGACCTGACCTGAAATAATGTATTTATTAAAAAAATTATTTTTATTCAATAAAAATATAATTTAATTGAATATATATATGGGTATTATTGTAATTATCCCTAAATATATAAAGTAAAATTATAATTTTTTTTGTTCGGGTCGGGTATTTTTCACCCTAAACTCAAACCCGACCCGACCTAACTCGAACTCAATTTTTTTTAAAAAAATCATCAGGTCGAGTCAGAACCAGACGGGTTTAGGTCCCTTACCCATCCCTTATTGAAAGATCTTTGAACATAAATTATCTTGTACTTATCACAAATTAATAAATAATTAAAAAACTCTCGTTTTTACCCTTACTACTATCGGATGAATTATCAGGGGAGGACACACCTAATCCTTAAGGGGAGGGGTGAAGTACATTTCTATTATTCAGGAAAAAAATATGAAATTTAATTGAATATCTTAAAAATTAAAAAATAAAATATTAAAATTTTGAATTTATTCTTAATTTTTTTGAATTTTTCACTGAGAATAAAACGCTTCAACAAAATAGATTAAAAGTGTGTAAGAAAAAAATAGATTAAGTGGTGGTAAAATAAAAGTTTAAAGATTATTTTTCATAAATAAAATTAAAAGTGAAAATGGAAATTAAAGTATAATTTTATTGTTTAAATGTAAAATTAATATGAAATGGATGGGCCATGAACTATTTGGGGAAACTGTAGAGTTTGGGGTAGTTCTGCGGTGCGGCGTCTAAAAAATAGCTAATATATGGCGTGACCGGTTAAACAATTGACCGGTTAAAATTTATACCGGTTATGTTATATTATTTAACCGGAAATATTATAAAGTACAATAACATACTAGGTAGCACTTATATAATGTAATAGGTAGCGCTTATATTTACCTATTTTATAAGTAAACCGGTATATTTATACCGATAGTATTGCAAATTTACCTATTACATTATATTATATTGAAAGTGTTCATACTTTTTATAAAAAGGATCGATACTTCTTTTAAAGTTATGTAATTTATGTTTCAATTTTTTTAATAGTGTTTCATGTTTTCCACCTATAATATTAATTTAATAATTTCATTTGCACAAAAAATTATTTGATTTTTTGATATTTTATAAAATATTATTTAGAATTTTTAATTTAATAATAATATATATCGTAACGTAAAAATAAATCATTAGACGCCTATAATTACTAAATTAATATCTTAAAACTCACTCAAAAGATAACCTTAAATTAATGTTTTCCACAGTAAAAAAAGTATGGACACTTTTATAAAAAGGATAGACACTTTACAATATAACCACTACCTATTACATTATATAAACGATACCTATTACATTATATAAGCGCTACCTATTACATCATATTTTTACCTATTATATTGAAAGTGTCCATACTTTTTATAAAAATGATCGATACTTCTTTTAAAAGTTATGTAATTTATGTTTCAATTTTTTTAACAGTGTTTCATGTTTTCCACCTACAATATTAATTTAATAATTTCATTTACACAAAAAATTATTTGATTGTTTTGATATTTTATAAAATATTATTTAGAATTTTTAATTTAATAATAATATATATCGTAACGTAAAAAATAAATCATTAGACGCCTATAATTACTAAATTAATATCTTAAAACTCACTCAAAAGATAACCTTAAATTAATGTTTTCCACAGTGAAAAAAGTATGGACACTTTTATAAAAATGATAGACACTTTACAATATAACCACTACCTATTACATTATATAAACGATACCTATTACATTATATAAGCGCTACCTATTACATCATATGTTTACCTATTATATTGAAAGTGTCCATACTTTTTATAAAAAGGATCGATACTTTTTATAAAAAGGATCGATACTTTTTTTAAAAGTTATGTAATTTATGTTTCAATTTTTTTAACAGTGTTTCACGTTTTCCACCTACAATATTAATTTAATAATTTCATTTACACAAAAAATTATTTGATTGTTTTGATATTTTATAAAATAATATTTATAATTTAAATTTAACAACATTAACCAAAGATAATAATAAATATGTAATATATATGTTTATTGTTTTTAATTTAATATTAATATATATCGTAACATAAAAAATAAATCATTAGACGCCTATAATTACTAAATTAATATCTTAAAACTCACTCAAAAGATGTATATACCTAAATATGTAGTTAACAAACATACCTAAATATGTAGTTATTGTACATACCTAAATTTAATGATAATATATACTTGTAGTTATTGTACATACCTAAATATGTACTGCGAATTTAATGTTGTACCCACCCTTTAACTACCACTACCAATGCCACATCCTATTGAAAGCAGCATGACTGAAACATGTTCAAAATGAACCTTTGCTTACATCTCCATCAACTCCTGGAGCACTGAACTTGCACAACAAAATTTTTTCCATGGATAATACTGATGTAGATAATGTTAAGCCAACCGAGGAATGCCATGAAGTACATAATGTTGATGAATCTGACAGATTGGTTGGTCAGCTCTTCTGTTCACGTGATCAAGCTTGGAACTTTTACAAGGGATTCGCACGGGAACATGGGTTTAGTGCACGTAAGGGAACAACACGGCTTGACGTGGAAGGGAATGTGAAGACACAAGAATTTTGTTGTTCCAAAGAAGGGTTTCAAGTATCAAAAGTCAATACTGTTGATCGTCAACGTGCTCATACGCTAGTCACAAGAACAGGATGTAAGGCTAGAGTCGTAGTTACAGCAACAAATACAAACGATCAGTGGGTTATAAGTAAGTCTGATCAGAAACATAATCATGCATTGTGCACATCTACTATGACACCATTTATGCGTTCTAATAGAGCTGTAAGTAAGGCTGATATCGATGAGGCAACAACATTGAAAGAGGTCGGTGTTGGCACGTCACAAGTAATGAACTATTTAACGCAGCAGGCAGGGGGCTATCATAATGTTGGATTTACACATAAAGACCTCTACAATGCACTTCAAAGAGGTAAAGCAAAGGAAATCGTCGATGGGGATGTGAATGCGCTTATTGCCTACTTTGATTATAAGAAACATGATGATCCCGGGTTTTTTATGACATACTCGGAAGACGAATCGGGGGCATTGTATAATCTTATTTGGTCGGATTCTACATCGAGATCGGATTACACATGCTTCGGTGATGTAATTGCGTTCGACACAACGTACAAAGATAATTTGTATGGTCGACCAATTATGCCTATTGTTGGTGTCAATCATCACCATAACACAATTGTGTTTGCCACTGCCATAATCGCTGACGAGACGTCTCAATCTTTCGAGTGGGTGCTACAGAATTTTTTAGAAGCCATGATGAATAAATCACCTATTTCCGTTGTAACCGATGGGGATAGGGCAATGCAGAGGGCTATCAAATCTGTTATCCCTTATGCTAAGCACAAATTATGTTCTTGGCATCTTTCTCGCAATGCACAAGCTAACATTGGTGACCCAAAGTTTACAGCAGCATTCTCAAAATGCATGGCTTCCTGGTGGACAACCAAGGAATTTGATATTCAATGGCGTTCGATTGTTTCAGAATTCAACGTCCAAAAGCATCCATGGGTGATTGAGAAGGGAAATACACGACACTTATGGGCACAAGCATATCTAACCGGTCATTTCTTTGCCAATATTCGCTCAACACAAAGGTGCGAGTCTATGAATGCTTCACTAGCTATTGCACTGAAACACAAGAAGACATATTTAGATGTTGTTCGTGCAATTGAAGATGGAATTAGTAGAATGCGTATGAACGAGTTGAAAGCGGATTACTTAAGTTCCCATACGAAGACCTTCCAGATCACAAAACTGGTCGACCTTGAAAGGCATGC